CCAGAGTGTAAGCTATTATTATTATTATTATTATTATTATTATTATTATTATTATTATTATTATTATTATTATTAATAATAGTAATAAACTTGGCACATCATAACTAAGTAGTTCTGAGCCACTTTGCAGACTAAGCAAACAGCTGATAATGGCACATTTTAAGATAAATTGTATAAAAACTAAACCTAATTAGTGTCTGGCCGTTGCTTGCTGTAGTATTTTAAAATCAGGGTTGCATACCTTTAGGTCTGAGGGCTCTGGCAATGCCTGTGCTTGTCTGCCGATGCAGGAACAGGTTCTGACAGTGCCCCGGGCTGCCACCTGCAGTGAACAGCGTTAAACACAGAGCAAGTTCCTTGCAATGGTCAAGGCCAGGCCAGAGGCCGAATTAGTGCAACACAATAGAGTCAGTGGGGCATTAAGAGTTTAAAATTGTTTCCTTTTGTTGTCGCTCAGTATCCCAGGCTGGAAACACTAGTGTTTGGGGTTTCATCGTAACAACCATTAGAAATCTCATGCTTGCTGACAAAAGAAAATTGATACTAAAAATGTATAAAGCTTTGCATTGTTAAAATATTTTGTTGGAAACATATTCATTTGAGCTTCTTACACTAGAAAAAGATCTTTAACGATAACAATCTGTATCTGACAACATATGAAGTACAAGATTATCTCTTTGAAAATATTACATTTTTACTGTTTATGATAATGTTTTGCTCTAGATGACTATGGTCCCAACTTATATCTTATTAAAAAAAAATGTTTTTAAAGGGCATTTTTCGCACATCATTTAAGAGATGGAAAGGATTCTAGACACATTTTCAAGGATCTTTAAATATCCTTCTTGACATATTAGCTACTTGTACTGTCTGTAGATTTAATACTGTGTTAAGAATTAATTGACATTTAAGGGTCACTGTCAAACGATTTATACATAAGAAAATATATTATGTATCACAGTGAAAGATACTGTAAAATAACTAATAGCACAAGCCAGAATGCCACTGACTCCTATTTTAAACAGAAACACCAATAAGCAGATTTAGGACTCAAATCAGGGTTTTAGCATAATCTTATATAAAAAGACTCAAGATGTTGACTCAAGAGTCTTTTTGTTGCACATACATTTTTAGTCTCTGTGACAGAGACTGCAATCCCAAAGTCACACTAATTGATGTTTCTCAGTGCCTCAGCTGTAGCTCTCTAAGCTTCTGCCAGTCATTTTGCAGTGTCTTCCTCATAGACTCAGCTTCTGAGTTCTCTGTACCTGCAGTTTCTGTAATGCTGACAAAAGGAAACATTGTGACTTTGTCGCCTCTGTCTTCTTTTCCATGATGTTCCTGGGGTCCCTGTGCCACACTATCCTGCACATTATTCCTCTCTCAACTTCCAGAAAACCTCCCAAGGTATGTACAGTAACAGGCCTACACCAGCGTTCATTTTCTCGCCATATTTGAAAAAATGTACAGTCATTGATCAAGCAGCAGTGATGTCATTGTCACTGCAGTAATTGTAAATGTGGGAACAACTTGTTCACTTTTCAAAAACAAGTTGAGGAAAAAACAACTGCAAACACGTCTGACCATCAACAATCCTGTGAAATCTGGAAAAAATTACGGGGGGCAAGGGGCTTAAGGCTGGGACAGTGGTGTTATTTTCACCCGGTGTCTGCAGTACCCTTGCAGCGATGCAATAGCACAGACACTATTAGCCAGCAGCCATATCACCCTGCAACTCACAACTGGCAACCCACTGAAGCTAAGCAGGTGTGAGCCTGGTCAGTAACTGGATGGGAGACCTCCTGGGGAAAAAAAATGTTGCTGCGGGAAGAGGTGTTAGTGGGGCCAGCAGGGGGCGCTCACCCTGCGGTCCATGTGGGTCCTAATGCCCCAGTATAGTGACGGGGACACTATACTGTAAACAGGCGCTGTCCTTCAGATGAGACATAAAACCGAGGTCCTGACTCTCTGTGGTCATTAAAAATCCCAGGGCGTTTCTCGAAAGGAGTAGGGGTGTAACCCCGGCGCCCTGGCCAAATTCCCCCCTTGCCCTTACCAATCATGGCCTCCTAATAATCCCCATCTATGAATTGGTTTCATCACTCATCTCTCCTCCCCACTGATAGCTGATGTGTGGTGAGCGTTCTGGCGCACTATGGCTGCCGTCGCATCATCCAGGTGGGGCTGTACATTGGCGGTGGTGGAGGGGAGTCCCCATTACCTGTAAAGCGCTTTGAGTGGAGTGTCCAGAAAAGCACTATATAAGTGTAAGCAATTATTAATTATTATAACGGAATAACATTACCTGACAATAAATTACCTTATTCTTCAATAAAATTTCAGTGCACCTACAACAAAAAAAAATGTCAAGAAAATGCAAGAAAATGACCAACTTGTGAGGAATGTGTTGTATTTATAAGTGATACATTTCTTTTTGATGTTCAGTATATGTCATCTTTTCCTGATAAATCAGTGGCCTTGAGGTTTTAAAATTATTGGTTTTGGATTTATTTGTTTTATATCTGGCCTTTCCTGATCCCACTTGAATTCTTGCCGTCACCTCCGGTATAATGGCTTGTTCGTAAATCTGAAATCTGACATTTTATTTAGATGTTAGAATAAACTGGTTGTGAAAACTGTGGTACCATTTCCACCGCACTGCAGAGTAAGCCTTGGATCTATTTGTGCAAGCTCTGTCTTGTCACCGTCAGCCACACGGCGAACAATTCTGTGGGGTACATACTGTATGCCCAGACAAGCAAATCAAAGAACCTCCTTGAGGATCTCAGCGGCATTCTTGAACTGATACTCAGTGGGTCTCTTTGTCTTTCCACAGGTGTTTGCCTTTGACTATTGCTTTTGGTCCATGGATGAATCAAATGTTACAAAATATGCAGGTGAGTCATTCATTTTATTACAGTGATAGTGGCCAGGAAGAATTATGAGTTTCATGCCATGAGAGCAGTTAAATCTTTTTTTCCCTGCAGATGTATGTAAGTTCCACATTGGGAGCAAATGTTCCTAAGCACTTCCTAATTGTCCTACAAAAAAAACTTTTTCCTACTTTGTTGTTTCCCGTTTGATTTAATTCACTGATCTCTGTATGTTTTAAAGGTAGGTGATAGTGGGTTTCTTTTTGTTTGTTGATGGCTATAAAGGGTGTACATGAAAGAAAATGTTCTTCTCAGTCTTTTAAAAGAAATTCACCTACAGAACACCAATCGGACTTGTAAAGGTTTTTCTTGTTTTACTTGTAAAATGACATTTGAGTATTTGGAAGTATTTTCTAGATCTCTATACGGTATGTAGGATACATTCAAATCATAGCATAGAATGCACAGGTGTTTAATTCTTATGTAGTCTGAACTGAGCAAGTTTTTTTTTTTACCAGCTTTTCATCTAGTTGGCACTGTATTGTTGCACAAGTATGGTTCACAAGGATTAAGTCAGTTAAACATGTTTATTGAGTGTTTTACTCATAGTAAATCATGCTGAACTTGTTTGGCTGAAGGCCAGCCTCCTGGATATACAGTATGACGAGGAAGCTACAGTAGGACCCCCAAGCAGAGTGAAAAGTGCGCAAATGGGAGCTTCGAAGGTGAAGAGGGAGTGGAGGAGGGATGCAAAAGATGAATGTGAAGGAGAGAGCTGTGTGTATAGTATCATAGTTGTTTTACATGCAGGAAATGACATTGGGAATGATTATGATTAACGGCAGCTGAGGCAAGTTAAACTTGGCTGCTGTCACCCCTCCTGGAGTTCTGTTGTAAAAGTCTGGAGTCTGGAGTAACATAACAGCTCAGGTGTGGTCAGTCACTGCAGGCTTGGGCCCTGTCACGTCCATTCTGAGTCTAGATGAGTCTAAATCCAAACTGAATGCTAGCTTCCAGAAAGTTCATTCCGGTGGCTCATTGTTTGAATCCTAGCTGGTAGGGTGTGGCACAGTGGGCAGTTGCTCAAAAAGCTGACGACTGTTTTAAGGGAAAACAGATGGCCCTTTTTCAAGGGGACTAATAGGACTGTGAAACTCCTTGAACACTGAAATTTTTCTCTTGGGTATTCAAAAGGCTGCCTACAGTCTTTAGCCAAAACATACTGAATTAAAGGTAACATCACAACAACACTTGCAAGAGTTTTTACCAGTGGCATCTATAATGTAGCTAGTGTGATTCAGCAACCCAGTAACCTCTAATTTCTGTATCTCCTTTTTATGCTTTTAAAAATTGACTAAAAACGTTGCTACTTTAATTTATATTTTTGATAGTTTTCACTCACAGAGAAAATGTAAGAAAAAGTGATTATTTAAAATTAAATTGAGAAATTGGTGAGTTAGAAGTGTCCGGAGACAAGTAATAAATCTTATCAAAGCATTATAAAGCTTCAACATAAATTTCCTTAATTTAAATTCCAGTTTGCTATATATCCAAGCAGCATTTGGTTTGTTGTTTTCATGTCTTCACTGTGTTCTACTGAGGAGGACATTGGAGAATCTACATAAACACCATTCATGCACATACTCCACCCATGTGATAGTATAGTGTGTTTTGCTACTTCCTGTGTGGATAACATGTTGACATTAAATTTCATTTGCCAGATGTCTGCCCATTCCGTGATTTTGTTGTTTTTTAGAACTACATTACATTATTTCTGTTTGCTTCTCCCACAATTTTTATGTGCAAATGTACAGTAACTAGTTTTCTAACTACATCAGTCTCAGAATCATTGATAGAAATTTAAGAAAGAATAAGGGGCCTTAAACAGATCCCTCCTGGTTACATTTCCTCAGATACAGATTATGCCTTTTAAGTTAATTTACTGTTTATGAGCCAGTTCTTGAGACATGTGCCTGGATAACCTTAGGATCCCCACAGCTTTCAGTTTGCATATTAATGGTCTTTGTTGCTTGTTCAAAGATGTCTTTTAAGTTAGTCAGACAAGACTTTCCTTTTCCTTTCCTAAATCCAACTCGACTGTCTCTGAAAATTATTTTGCAAATAGTCTTCTGGTTTAGCTCTGTTTTACATAATTATACCTGACTGTCACCCTTTTCTGGGACACATAATATGCAGGTCAAGTAAACACACAGCTATGGGTTGCTAAATGTACAGTGTTTGCTGTGGGTATCCTAAAAGTATAGGTTAGTAGAATATGTGCTGTCTTGTGCAAAGGTGCCACTTTGAAATTAAAAATCTGTTTTTTTCCGGATCAGTTCAAATGGAAAATGCCAGCACTGATGTAAATGTCTGTTTTGCAGGTTGGCAGCTTCTAATAAATACGGATCAGAAGCTGAACCTTTTCTGACAAACACATGAAAATAAATCCATTGTTTCACAGTTGAATAAATTTGATTCCTGCCGATTCTTTAATCTCGGGAGCTCAGCTTTTCTGTGTCACAGACAGATATTGCTTTTTCATGAGGACATAGGGACAGTAACTGTGTCCTTGGATGGCTTAATGCTGAAGGCAGTGCTGTTATAGAGATAGAGATTCCTGCTTGCTGGGAATGATTAACTTTGTACACAAATATTCTGTAGTTTTTCCACCTTTGGTCTTGGGTTTTTGTTCAGCTGAAAGACTGACCTTTGAACAGCCCACTCTGTTGGGTGACAGGGAGAGTCCCATTCTTCCTCCATTAACTTTGGAAGTACTTTACTAAATTATCGTCCACGTCTGACCTTTCTTATATTTCGAATTCTGACGCACGAGGCCTTAAAGTCATGTGGTTTAAAGAGCATGCAGCACCGAGCGCTGATATATTTCAGTTCAGAATTTTCACCCCCTTCCCCCAAGTGCGTTAATGGTGCCATGAGATTGTGCAAAGAGGCCTACAGATGTGTTTCACAATGCCAGGCAGTTCTTTATTTATCAGCTGGTCACTAGGAATGATTTGCATTGTTTTCCTCCTTCACTCTAGCAGCCAAAGGGTGTCTGCATGTCATTTTTTTCTCCCACTTCTAGATCGTGTTAGTGGGACTGTCTGCTGTTTGTTCCCATTCTTGAGCAGTGTGCCTACGTTCCCCCCAGCTTTCCGTTAAAGAATTAACCTCTTAGGAGAGACCTTGGCAAAAGATTTCTGGATATCTATTCCGAAACATGCCTGAATTATCTGGCCTTCCCACTGAGATGGAATACAACAGATGCTATTATGACCGCCAAGCAAAGCTGAGAAGTGCTGACAGGATGTGAGACTGCCTTTGTTTGTAAAGGTGCCCTGTTTGACACCATTTTTATTTGTGTCAATGAGAGTTTGCAGTGGCCTGTTCCCTGTAGTCCCTCGTTAGACCTCGTACTGTAATTTTAACATGAGTCTGCATGTTCTCCCCTGTGTCCCCTGGGGTTTCTCTAGGTCCTTTCTGTCCTCCCTCCTCCCAGAGACACATTGGACAGGTTGGACTATATTTGCTCTATTACACTGGCCCATTTATGGACTCTTTTTTTCAGGGCACTTCATGTGTGTATGTTGTAGAGTTGTGGATTCTGGTATCAATATTCCAGCGCAGGAAGTTAAGACTATTTTTAACAGCTGGTTCTGTATTTACCAATCATTTTTAAACTCCTAGAACTTGGGTGGTCTTAGCCATGCCACCAAACTGAATACAGTGGTGTGGTGTTTTTCTCTGAATACAATGGTGGTGGTGTCTTTTACTTGTTTAGTTTAATGACAAGACCACTTTAGCTGATCCTCTGCATCAGTAAGAAGTCCCCCGGCTGCCTCTTCCAGTATCTGTTTGCTAATTCTTGACAGCTGAGGTGAGAGCAGTGCTAAGAGTTTACTCTCTCTCTTCCCGCTGTGATTATCGTGTTAATCTTATTATTATAGTGCTGCTCTAACCTGTTCCATGCCTCTGATCTTTGTTAACTGCAATCAAAAGGTGCACAATGCAGTAAGCTGCCAAGGAAGTAGACCCCTTGCATTGGAAACGTATGAATGTTGGGAACCATTCTAATGGGAACCATTGGTAGGGGCAAAACTTTGTGAAGCTGTGCAGGTAGAGCAGGTAATCCCGTTGTAATATCTGTAAGTAATCCTAAGTGTGTTGTTGAAACTGGCATAAGGTAGTCATGTGTACATATGATTGAAACCAGGAGTCATGAATATAATGCTTATAAAAGAGCAGGAACCATGAAAACCACGAGTTTGGCTATGAAATTTTATTAACCTTCACCAGTCTTGAGAACAGTGAAAGTGCTAAAAGTTCTTTTATTGGTGCTTTTGTGTGTCGGGAACATCAATATAAGATTTTTAAGGAGTTATAAAGCAGTGCCTTTTCTGCTGCTTTTGAAATGGGATTATCTTAGGTTTCTTTACAGTCTTTATGTAGAGGTTTAAACTGGGAGCTGTGTCATTGTGTGAGCTACAGAGGAATGAGCAGAGCACATTTAATAAAGAATGAAGGAGCTCCATGTTTCGGCCTTTCATCACATCTTCTTCAGGTCTAAAACGGCTAAACCCTGGGAATAATAATACCATTTCACATTTTCTAGATCATTAAAAAGGTTGCACAGATCTTTGAAATGTAGTGCTTAGATCTTTTATTGTATTTAGAGTCAGCCAGTTTATAGTCCTAATTTGTTTTAAATGTGGCGAGTTTGATTAATGACTGACCAAGTTAATGACCCGAACCAACTTTAAGACAGTAAATACAAGCCACTTGGTTTTTTGAGTTCTTTTTTTATGTGCTGAGAAAGATCTGAAGTCTAAATATTTGAGAAATGTCAACATATGTCCTCTGAGGTGTTATTCTGTTTTGTTTAATAATTTACTGCCTTATTGGTTTAAAATTTTACTGAACCTCAGATTGAGCCAGCATTTTCACATGGTGTAGAATTGCATTCACAGCTTATCTCCCTTATTTTCAGGTCAAGAAGTAGTATTTAAGTGCCTTGGAGAGGGAATACTTGACAATGCATTTCAAGGCTACAATGCCTGCATCTTTGCCTATGGGCAAACAGGTGAGGAATGGTTTCTTTTAATGGTTTATTATATTGACTTTCCTTGATGGCTTTTTTTCAGCTGATGACACAGGGTAAAACAAGATTGTCAAATCATAATAAACACTACAGCTTGCGTGTCAGAACCACAGAGCCTTGTATGCGCTGCAGCAGGAATTAAATATGACTGCAAAAATGCAGGACACTGATTCCACAGTGGAACAGCACAGCAGTTTCACAATAAAAGGATCAGCACATGTGTGCTTTGAAACGGTCTTGCAATATCTTAAACATGTTCCTGGCGGCAGGGATGAGCTTGTGGTAAGATGCTCAAAGTACCCACTAGATAAATAGTATTTTCCTGGCACGAAATCAGCAAAAATGAAGAAAAAAGCAAACTGTGTCTGTTCTTTCCTGAAACTACAGTGTTTTGTGATTCTTTGCTTTTAATTCTGGCACCTTGAACAGTTTATTGTGCTCCCTAAAGCCAAAACACATATATTTCATGATTTCTGCCTGGAAAACTGTGAACATTGCTGTGCTGCTTCCTTGTTAGAAGGATGAAAAGTGAAATACCATTAGCCTGAGTCATTTCACCAAGCTTGGATTTCACTCCATCAGGTGTTACTACCTCTTCTTATTTCCTGAAGTAATTTTATGAGGAGAAACAGGAAATGTACATTATACATTACTCAATGTAGTCTAAGTATACAGTTAGATTAAGTCATATCTGGGGATTGTACAATGTTACATCTTTTTTCATTATACAAGGAGCTGGAAACAACAGCTTTGTGACCTCTTACTGCTTCCATTTACCCTGGTGTCTGGTGTTGTCATTGCAGGTTCAGGCAAGTCCTTCTCTATGATGGGCAATGGAGACCAGCCAGGCCTTATTCCCCGTCTCTGTTGCTCTTTGTTTGAAAGGGTTTCAGAGCAAGACAGCGAATCACACACGTTCAAAGTGGAGGTTTCCTATATGGAAATCTACAACGAAAAAGTGAGAGATCTGCTGGATCCTAAAGGGTGAGTCAGCTTAAACTCGCACACCCACAGCCTTTACTGGGGGGAATAGTATGATATTTATTTACTATTTTCTATTTGGAGGGTATCTCTCATTACCTTTGTGAACTTGCGTTTTTTGGGTTAGGCTTCACATTGATAATATCTCTATACCGCATTTGTTTTTTCTTGGGATTTTTTCTGTGAGGGGAGGATAATGCAATATAAATAGAAGAGAACAATGCCCTGTTCTCCAATATACCCAAGCTGAAATAATCCTACCCAGGTGGCACCCCCCCCCCCCCCCCCCCAGAAAAAATAAAATACTGCCGTTCTTGCTCAGATGACAGCTCCCTCCCTGTTCAAGCCACTGTAAATGTGCCCGTCTCGGCAGACTCAACCCGTGTTTTTATGCCGCCCAGGTGCCTAAGGCAATATTTTTAGTTCCGCTGCCTCTTAATTTCAGTCTGTTTTGATTTAAGGGCAAAATGTAGGTAGACCAGATTGGGCAAAACCAAAACACAATTCAAAATCTCTGTTTGGCAGGAAGACAAAAATAAAGAACATGCAGCCCGCATGTGTCAGAGACTGCCAGGTGCCATTAATAGAGAGGGAGTACAGGATTCTGTTTCCCACCAGTTTCCAGATCTTCGCAAGCTGGCAAAAAGCTGCCCTACAATCCTCATACTTATTTCCATGGCTGAAGGACTGTCTATTCCAGCATTCAGTTGAGTGTTCACACCACGAGGACAAAAGATGTCAGCTGCTGTCTTTAACATATGTTTGACAGTTTGAAATAAAATTACAGTTTTACTAAGTTAACGATGAATGTCTTATTTTTTGTGCTACTCTGCAAATAATCTATGTTTCTGTATATAATGAATATCTGTAGTTCTCTCTACAACCTACAGAAATATTATATTTCTCCACTATTGCCTTGGTCCCCTAAGAACAGGGTTCTAGCCTTGAATAAATGAGCAGTGTTTTTAAGTTTGCTGTTCTCCCTTCTCCTAGCCCCCATATCTAACCCCATGTCCTCTCCACATGCTATCTCTTTTATAGCTTTTAGCTAAAACTGAGATACCATGAAGTAGTTTCATGTTTTCGATTTAGCAGAGGTCGCTGGGGAAACATAGTTTATCATGTCACGACAAAAAATCATTGCGATGCAGGAAGTGTTCTTTTTGGTTCTGAAATGAAATCTAGATTCAGAGTGAAAGCTGGAGCCTTTTCCTTTTCAGTTTTGTGATCGCACTACAGATGCAACGAAAGAAATTTTATACACATCGGGGAAGTGACACATGTACTCTGTAACTGGATGTGTTACTCAGAAGTGCTGCAGGTGTTTTCTAAGCACAGGTCTGAAATGAAATCTGGTCTCTGACATGTCTTTGTCTGAGGCTGTCCCATCCCCTTCAACAAGGCCTGGGTGTGTTGTTCAGCAACGGTACAGCCTAACGTATCAGTGTTCTTGCTGCAGTAAGATCAACAAGCAACAGATATGTCAAGGAAAGAGCCATTTGAATACTAGGAGCCCTGTTCTGGAGGAGCGGACCTGGAGACCTCAGCAGGTGAACAGGAATGATAGACAGAGTAGGGGCAGTCTGGTAGGGGGAGTATACTCTCACAGCTCAAGGTGGAAGCCTATGTAAGTCAGCTCTTGTTTGCCCAAGAGCCTTTGCTTTGCTGCATGACAGCTTTATCTGAAAGCAGCTGTTAGCAGTGAGCCTCACACAGTTGGATGGTGACTTGTGTGTTTTGTAAAATAGCAACATTCCCCAGGCTGTATCACTTTCCCAGTACTGAGAAATACAAGATCATGATCCGAGGAACCCAAACAGTTTTTGTGGAGACAGCATCCATGTTTTTTAAATTAAAATTGCAGCATCACTGCAGTTTCCTGTAGTTGTGGAATATTTGTTTTTGCTTGTTCTAATTTTATTCCATTCATTCTTCTCTTCTTTAAATCCTCAGTTGTGAAATAACACAATTAAATAAGTTTGATTTTCAGAAATAGGAAAGCCCTCTTGGATTAGGAGTTTATAGTATGGAATACACTGTGGAAAACAGCTGGAGCATTTCTGCACCTGCATGGTTCGTTACTTTAAGAGAATGTTTTTAAAAGAAGTCAGTTTGCTTAACTTCTCTGCACTGCTTAAAGAACTTCAGGCTAGATTTTTGAAAGCTTGGAGGCATGTTTCTGAGACACTTTGCTTCATGAAAACATTCATTTTCTCCCGAGGAGATTTGCTATAGCAGGTCATGAAATGTAATTATCACACTGTCAAAATACTCCACAGATGAAACATTATATTTTATTTCCTTCTGCTTTTCAGCGTGGGAATGGCTTTTAGTTGTCCCTTTCAGCTCTTGCACTGTTGCACACACCCCATCAATTCTCTGTAAAAGTGCCATGTAAAAAATCATTCAACTTCACTTCTTTATTACCAAAAGCCTTCTTTATTACCAAAAGAAACGGATCAGATTGAAAATCAAACCAAGTATCTGGTAGTACATTTACTGAACATTCCAGCAATTCTTGACAGATAGACTGCTGATAGACTGGCTTGAGAGGTAGTTCCTCCAAATTGCATCCAGCATATTACTTCTTGAAGTGCTGCCTCACATTACACCTTCCCTTTCTTAAAAAAAACATGCACAGAATGAAAAAAGTGTTTAATAATAAGTGTTTAATGTGTTTCCAAACACATGAAGACCGGTTGCCTTTCAATCCCAAATATCTCGACACAGTACAGCTGAGCTGCTGCTTTTCCTTGATTCAGAGCGACAGGTAGTGCTGGCAGCCCTCTACTCTGCTGTCTTAATCACACGGGCAAACTGATAGAACTCCAGCAGTACGTGTTTGATTGTGATGGCAAAAGATGGGATACTTGTGATTTGTGGATACTTTTTTAAATTTCAGATCCTTGTGCTCTTCAGCTGTAGTGCAGGTTCTTTGTTTCTGTGTAGCTGGCTGTAGCTTTGGGAGTTCCCCCTAATCTAGCCACTGGCATTGCCAAATAAAACAAAGAGGGATTATAATATGGATCTTGTTTATAATCTGGCATGTCTGCAGTGCCACAGACTATCACAGTGGGTAGCCCTTACATAGTGATGGTAAGTACTCTGCTTGATTTAAACCAAAATTTCTACCATGAGAGGAGAAAAAAGCTAAATTGCTTTGCTGGTCTCGCTGTTCTCCCGACCCTGTGAAAATGTTCTGGGATGTGCTTGCAGAGAGTGCAGATGAAGCATATGACAAGCACATATGCCATGGGAGAGAGAATTAAAATGGAAAGGGAAACAAAAGGGAAAGAGGACCCCAAATATGTGCGACCATGATTGGTAGCAAGGGGAGTTTTCAAAACGTAAAACCCAGCAAAGTGCTTTCATTTAAGTGAGTGATTACAAATGCTCATCCAGAGAGAGAGCATAGCTCTGAAGTCTTAGCCCATCTTGTGGTGATGTTGTAGTTCTACGAGATTATAAACACATATGAAGGTTCACAAGTCCTTTTCCTGAAGGACTTAGTGGTGGGTCATTTTACCATTAGAAGAGAAGTGGTCTTTGGAGTAACACTTTACTCCCAAAACACATCAGCCCAGCTGTACCTGAGGTATTTGACCATGATTCACCCTTCAGACCACGCCCAAATCTTGCAGGATGTTTGGGGTACAGGACAGCCCTCTGTCAAGAAGCTCACAGGTGTGCTCAGTGGGAAGCAGGTTGGGTAAATGGTGGCACAGCCACAGTGTTCTCTCTGAGACAGGGGAATGATGCGGCACTGGGTCAGTCAATCAAGTTTATTCTCGTACAGCACCTTTCAAAACTGAGGTTTCTCAAGTCACTTTACATAAATGATACAATAAAAGACAGTACACTATAGAGAATATGTAACAAAACCTTATATAAGTGTGAAATTAAAAGAAATAGATGTGGGATTGAAGGGCATCAAGAACAAGACTTGAGGCAAGATTTAAAAACGTCAGCTGAAAGTGTGTTTTTAATATGGTCAGGTGTATTCAAAGGAAGGGGGGCTTCCGCTGAAAACGCGGTCCATTAACGTGCAATCACAAGTCCTTGGAAAGTTTAAGGGGCCTAGAGCCGGTGGAATGAAGTGAGTGAATGGAGGCATGTGGGGAAAGTAACTCTTGAAGGTGTGTTGGAGATAGACCATGCAACTCCCGCGGGCCTCAGTTGTGTGCAGCTCTGTGGAATGTGAGAGTTCTGCTTCTGCCAGCTGCTGGTGCTGACTCACTGCAGGTAGCTTAACACAAGTATCATTATCCATTATCGGACAAGTCAAGTCATCGATTAAAAGTTGTTCACAGAAGAAATATCCTAACCCAGAAGTAGTGTCGATGTTGTTTATTTCTTTAATTTTTTTCAAATAAAATCTGACTTAAAAATATTTTTGTGAGTCCCTTAGCAGCCAGTGTAGCCAATAAAAAGCTACATGTATTAATATATGTGATGTAAATATTGCGAAAAGACAGGTCTTAGGACATTTTTGGCCCAAGTCACTTCACTGAACATCTGTTGCTAAATGCTGAACAACTGTTCCTTTCAAAAAAGAGCTAACAAAAGCACAGTGGAGAAATAAGTGTTGCAGCTTGTTTTTGTACAAATTAAGCAAACATCTTTGAGGTAGAGCAGTGGTAGTGACTTTGCTGCCTCGTGATTTTAATATGTGTCCATCTTTGTTTTATTCTAGGCCTAAGGTATTTATTGTCTGCAGGGGAATCTGAATCAAAGCAAGTTTGTTTTTGTTGGATGTAAATCTTTCAATAGGGTCAGTTCCTGTATATGTACTTACAGTTTTAGAAAAGCTGTGAAGCTGGAAATTCAGTGGACAGGTTTCTGATTGTTTTTAGGACTGTGGGAATGGAGAACTGTGGTCAGATGCCCTTATGTACCAGATTGACAGTAAATTTAAAAGGTGCTTAAAAGGTGCTTTCAGATTAAAATGTAGTAAACATACTGTATATATAATACGTATGCAGTGCTTAGTTGACCATAGCTTATGCGTCAGTTTACCTTCTTTTCTTAAGCGTCAGCATGATTTTAGATGAAAAATATGGAAATAAGAGAATTCTTTAACAGGAAATGGTACAGTTACTTGACAAACATCAAACTATGCCTATGCGTGCACACACTTGCATAAGGAGACATAAATACAGCATGGATCATTTGTAATACCACTATTGTCTAATTCATCTAATTTAATAAATATTGTTAACATTTACTTATCACTGGTACAACTCTCAAGCACAGCTGTTATGGATATTATATATCAATCCAAGAGTATTGTTCCATACCTATTATGTGATTAGAATGAAGTGATTAGAAAATGGATGGATGGGTTTTCTGAAGTTCCTTGAATCTTACACCTCTTTTCACCCTACAGTTAAACGTTCTATGAAATGTTTATATCTCATAAGGCTAAACACATATGCAATGCTTTCCTTTAAACATTTACTATAACTGTGCTATGATGGAGAAGTACTCTCTAAAACACCTCCATCTGTACACTGTTTGAATCTTGTACTAAAATGTAGACTCATTCTCTTGTGTGCTGGTACCACATTGTGTCCTGAAGCAACACATTGTCCCTGTAGTTATTTCCCTGAGCTCTGTTGCCTGTTCTCTGAAGAGCTTTTGGATATGGGTTATAATGACACAAACCACTGAAGGAAGGAGTAAACCTGTGTTTTTAAACACTTTGAAAACTCTTATTTTCTTACAACATCTGCTTTGAACACCAGAGTGTTGTTTGCTGTAAAACATGCATCAAGAAAGCTTGACATAAGAGACCCTCTTTGAGTGTTTACCCATAAATACTGTAAATGCACTTCATGCCTGAAGTCTCATCAAGGGGGTGAGAACAGGGGTGGTAGTGATTTTTTCCTCAGCTCACATACCACCCAGGAGAGCAGTGTTACAAAAATATGAGGATCAACTCACATCAATTGCCCTAGAAATAAAGGAGAATAAAGTTTCAGAGTAATTATGGTTTGTAGCATTTGAAATATTTCTGATTTATGTCTCCAGATTCTGTATTTACCCATGAAGAAACTATTATAACTAAATAATAGCACCAGACAAATCAGATTACTGTCTGGAAGACTGAGTTTAAGACATTTTGAATACAGACACCTAATATATTTTGGCCTTTTCATTACTATAGCAGCAGTGTCACTGAAAGCTGCAGGGGGCTAGCTCACACTCGGGGTGCAACTTAATTTGGCTTTTTGGAATAAAAGATGCCCATGTAAGAACCTGCAAAACCATTAGTGGATATGTCCAATGGGTTTTAAATACATTCCTGAATTGAGTGTTAAAAACTTTGAGATTAACCAGCAGCAGGAACTAATTAATGAAAGAAAAACAGTTGTGTTCTTTGTTAGTTAGTTTTACATTGAAATGCAGATACTGTGTCACAGTTACAGTCAGTCTTATGTGCTGCAGTCCTGTAACAGAGGTTCAAATCTCATTCACAGATCACATTAGGAGGTTTTTACAAATCTGTGAACGTCTTGTAACATAACAAATCCTCACATTTTCTATGGAATTGCCAAACCCCTGTAAGAACAGCTGCATTGCATCAGTAGAGCAGCCCTTATAGTTAAACTGTGCTGAATCTCTGTCCAATCTTTGTTAGTAAAATGGTACATTATTGAGTTAGGTTCTGTGTTATGGTCAAACATATTACCTCCAGCTGTGGTCACAGTGCATAACTGAGTATGTAAAACCACATGCTCTTTTTTTTCTTTTGTAAACATTTTTGCTTTTTTAGTGGTCAAGAATACTTCTGTTGTCTTGTGCAACATGTTTATCATGGTGGCTGTCTCAATTCAAGGTTGACAGTTAAAGCTGTGGAAGTAGGTTGACTCTGTTTCTCCACCTTTTTGATTATTGGAGCATCATATTATAGTACATTTGTGTTGCATTGCATATTGTGTGTGGGCTGAAACTGCATATGTGTATGAGTTCCTGGTAAAGAGGAGGTACTGTAGCTCAGATGATAGTTTTATCAAAGCACGACTACATCTTACCTTCAAGGTCCCCACTGCATTCCTAGGTTTGTGTTGATTGCCTAAAAGCATTGGAGGGGAAGAAAATGAACGTGACTCCAAAATGAAGTCCCCAGAAGCGTAACCTTTGCTGTGCTTTGAGAAACCTGTATCTGAATCTGCTTTTTGCTTGACTTTTTTGAACACGTATGTGATACAGGAAGATGCCCGAATATGCAACCTATAAAAGGCAAAAACTAATCATGAGGATTCAGAGCTCTTCTTGTAAAGATGGGACAGTTTCACCATGACTGTTTCTCATCCTGGTTCCAGAAGCAGGCAGTCCCTCAAGGTTCGAGAGCACAAGGTGTTTGGCCCCTATGTGGATGGATTGTCGCAGCTCGCCGTCACCAATTTTGAAGTAAGGGCTTTTTTGTTTGACACTCTTGTCAGCTCGTTCTTACAGGAGTAAATGTGTTTTTTTTTATTGTCTCTTCTCTCATTTCCGTGTGCGTTCTGGTGCATGACGTTCCAGGTGCGTCTCATTCAGGGAATCTAAGCTTCAAGATCAGGTTTCCCTTAGATTTCTTCCCTTACTGACCTATTCCCAGCAAATGTTTCGGCCAGTTCGGCGCATTCAATGACAAGCTGAGGTTGTTTCCAATTATGTTTGTAGCCGGTGTTAATATTCCTACCGTTCGGACAGAACACATTGTCGTAACGTGCTCGAAACACATAGATCTATCATTAGGAAATTCGTGAGTGGCGACAGGTGACGTGGCTTGAGATTCTTCAGACTTTGCTTCCCGGTGCGCGTATTACCTGATCTGAAATAAACTCACTTCCGTTCAGCTTCCAGCCACCTGGAGAACCTGTTTGATCAAATGGTGTTGTCCCGCACATCAGTATGTTAAAGCTCTGCAAAGACGTAGAAGTGGTGGGTTGTTTAAAACCCCAGCCTTGTCTCCAAGTCTGGAAGTCTGACGGCACCACAGTGTGCCTTGGCAGGGTTCGCCAACCTCATGTCACAGCTGTAAAATACTGCGTTGGGAAAGCAGACTTGTGACGAACGGTATATTAACGCCGTTTTCTTTTTTCTTTTCTCTTCTAGGACATTGAGTCGTTAATGTCAGAAGGCAACAAATCTAGAACAGTGGCTGCAACCAACATGAATGAAGAAAGCAGCCGCTCCCATGCAGTGTTCAGTATTATAATAACCCAGACGCTCTATGACCTGCAGTCTGGGGTACGTTGCAGATTGACGTTTAATTTTGACTTTGTTTTACGAGTTATTTTTCCTTGTTTTGGACAGTACCAGGGGGAAAGTGATGAAATCTCTGGCTACGTATTTCCTTGAAAGTTACTGTCTTTGTTTTATACTACAGTACCCGCAAGTGGAGTCTTGAAAGAAAAGAAACATCTATTTGATAACCTTTCTCCGGGTGTTTTTTTTTTTTAAATGAATGCTCTCAGTACAAGGAGCATATTGTTGAATCCTCCATATTTATTTACTGTTTCAAATGGGTTATGAATTTCAAAGGCTCAATTTTGAGCACAGAACTTTAATTGTTTGTTTGGTCATAGAAGGTAGCAAAGCTGCTGAAATCTATCAGCCAATGATAGACGTGCCAGATGTTGGAGCCTCCAAACACTGAACATTAGCAATTCAGTCAGCAGTGCTGCGTTTCCTCCAGGCTGGGCTCACCCTATTTAACGGGGTCCAGCCTGGGAAAAAGAGCCGCCGCTAGCACAGCAATGACCAGACTGGACTTACCCTATTAAGTGGGATCCAGTCTGGTGAGCAGGGCGCATAAGGTAAAAACAAAACAAGAACTGAGTGCATAACAAAAATGCATGTGTGTGCCTGCCCCAATGGAAGTGCATGATGGGACAGACAAAAGGAGAAATGAAATGAAAAAGAAAACCTTACACGGTTGCAATCCCCTCTGGGACTGGCCTTGCTCGTCCTGTCGGAGGGTGTCCAGTGTGCCTTTATAGGACCCGCCCAGCCGGGGCTTATCAGCTGGAAGCCAAGACAGCTGGGACTACAAAGGGGAGGCGCCGCCCTACGACCAGGGCTCCGCCTCCACACTGGACACGCCCCCACGTAATGCCACACGACTGACAGATGTCTTGGTGTTGGGTCTGAAGAATTGGAAGCAAAGCACTATTGCTGATGTGGGTCACAACATACTCCCGGCCAGAATTTAGTTAGATCATCTGACTGCTGTATGCTGTATGCTGACTGTGCGATATCTGCTCACTTAGTGTGCGCTGTCTTGACCACATGATCTCTGTGCTGACTGTGTGCGCTCTGTTCTCATTGTGTGCACTCTGTACTGACTGTGTGTGCTCTGTGCTTTGTGCAGAACTCCGGAGAAAAGGTGAGCAAAGTCAGCCTGGTGGACTTGGCTGGGAGTGAAAGAGTATCCAAGACCGGAGCAGCTGGAGAAAGACTGAAGGAAGGAAGCAATATAAACAAGTGAGCACAGCTGGTTGCTATACATGCGGTGTAGGGTGTGTGACATGCTAGGAGGCCTGTCAGAGTGGCTGAATTTGATTTTCTGTCTTCTAATAAAAAAGGAGGAAAAGATTGTCATTCTTATTTTTTTAGTATCTTGACATCCAACTGGTGTCTGGAAGGGACAGCAGTCCAATTGAGATTCATGACTAGAGCCTGGGACAACTAGGGCTGCTTCTATCCTGAAATACTTGTATACGTGGATTTTGTGGCTATACTCGAGATTCAGTCTGTCACAAACTTATGCCTGAACAGCATAGTCCAAATGAGCATCATCATTTATAACACCTGGCTTTTTTGTGGTGTATGGATTGACAGTGAAAGAAAAGGTTTCATTGACATTGTGGATAATATATTTTTAAGTGTGAGAATGAACATAGAAAGAACAATAGAATCACATATGTCATAAAACAGCACTGAGAACGTTCAAAATTGTGGTTTATTATAACAGTCTAGACTTCTGAAGATACATGCTGAGAATAGCAGTGTTGAGATCTCTAGTCTGGAATATGCCCAAATAGTCTAGCAATGCCAGCAGTCACCCTTAAAACATACCTCAAACCAGGTAGATGACAGGGTTCTGGGCAATGTGGACACACTCTTCTTGGAGGGTGTCATGGTGTACCTCATCCAAGTGGTAGGCATGTCCCCAGATGTGGGCAAAAAGGCTCAAGCCAAATGATTGGGATGCCAGTCAGGGGCAGGTTTACTTACTGGTGGAGGCAGAATACGCAAATAACAACTCCAACAACCAGTTCATCAAGCAGGAAAATGGCAGAAAGGTAGAGTTTAGATGACCTCTAGCCTCTGACCAATTGCTTCTTGAACTTGTGCCAGAGGTTCAGTAAGCAGCAATATCAGCTCACCTTCAGTGCCGAGACAGGACTGAGAAGAATATCTAAGAAGATGTATTTAACTTAAATACATAGATATCATGATAGTAAGCATTCCTATTAACTGGTTAAAAATAAGTATACATTCCTATCTCCATATTTAGTGGCCTGATTGATGGTTCATGCATATATAGTGCTGCTTAAGAAAATATAGTGTCCATGATTGTCAGTGAGCGTAATGTATGAAGATGGTTCTCATCCTACTGGAACTGGCATCTGTACTAACAACTGGTGCTGAGATTCCCCTCTGGCACCACCAAAGATATTTGGTAGTTGAGATTTGCCTGCCTACAATATAACACTGGGGCCAGTCAAGTGATCTGCCAGACGAACACAACAATCTACATGACCTTTTGCTCATTTAAACCCTCTCAAGTTCTTGGCCATGAGATGGCTTGTGATCCATCAATATCAGGCAACTACTGTATGTCAATTTTGGAGACCACAGAGATGCATAATACCAGTTACTCAACACTGCACAGCACGTGTGGGTTCAGTGACTTTGCTAAGCTAGAGATTCCTGTCAATTCCCGTGAGTGTCAATGTGTGTTGTGTGATGCAGGAGACTTGTGAGATTTTTGAGGAACAGGGCTCAGTCTGAAAGATAACCTTTGGCAGTGTGAGACACTGGTTTGTTTTCTCTCTGTTGTCGCTCCCAGTCAGTTTTGTTGTGCCTTTTTGGAAGAAGTAATAACTTCGTTCAGCCTCCCATCTGCCAGCCAACAGCGAAATTCTTTGCTCTCAGGTTGTCCCTTGTTTTGCATGTCAGTGGTGCTAGTGACCTCTCCGTTTCCAGGTCTCTCACCACTCTGGGATGCGTCATCTCCGCATTAGCAGACCAGTCGGCAGGAAAAGGGAAGAACAAGTTTGTGCCTTACAGAGACTCTGTACTCACCTGGCTCCTGAAGGTTGGTCTCCTCCTCATTTCATTTAAACTGTCTGCACTGGTTATTCCATTAGACTCTCTGTAGACACAGAGAGTAGATCTAATGGAATAACCAGTACAGACTCTGAATGAGCACTCTGAATGTTTGCTTTAATGTTTTTGCCATGCTGGCTGTTGTAGGAGAAACAAATCTGTTGAGATATTGCAGAAAATATTCAGAAGAGGAAAAACACATTGCAAGCTCCAGTCTCAATCTTGCATAGCTGCCAATCACTTTTGCTCTCATCTGGCTTAGGAAACAAGTATGAGAACATATTTTGATAAAATACTTATATATTTGTACTGTATTTCACATGAAGGAAATCATTTCTACACACAGTAAGAGAACAATGTGTTAAGACCATGAGAGCTCTCCAATTTCCTTTACACAATCATTCCAATCACTACATCAAGTTCAATTTCAGAAGAATAGTAAGTTGTGTTAATTAGCCTAAACAACATAGGCAATTTACTTCCAGGTGTCACATTTTCTCTTAGCACATTTCCATCTGTGTCCACACTTCCTGCCAGATTGACTTTGAAAAAAGAGAGGGCCACTTGCTATTTTCTGTGCTGAACGGTTCAGTTCATGCAGTCTGTCAGTACTAGATATGCCTGTTAACACTTGAGTGAGACTTATTTTTTAAAAAACAATCTTAGTCAAACAAGTAAATGCAGAAGAGAGAGGTGTTCCATTAATTGCTCTTATCACAGAGGTTTAGTTTTTAGGATTTAGTGGTAGTGTTAGCTTTTACTGTATAAACCTAAAATGCTAAAAATAAAACAAGAAAATCTTGCAATTGATCATCCTTTGTAGGCATTTTACTTTGGTAAGTCAATACTTCCAGCAAAGACAAGGGGTTTGTCTGCCAATACTAAGAGGCTTAGGAGCAAGGCGAAGTATCCACAGTTGATATCCACAGTTCTTTATTCCTGTGACAACATCCATGAAGAAGATCTCTCGATAAAGTAAAACTCCTGTGAGTACCTGTCCACTTTAATGGAGGGAAAGAAACGTTTAGCCAAATGGATACGCAGACACAGCCTTTCCTCGTTTACGGATGTGCACTTTGTGTCTTCCCCAGGACAACTTGGGGGGGAACAGCAAGACGGCCATGATAGCGACCGTGAGCCCTGCTGCAGACAACTACGAGGAGACGCTCTCCACCCTGCGGTACGCAGACCGGGCGAAGAGGATTGTTAACCATGCCATAGTGAACGAGGACCCCAACGCCAGGATCATCAGGGAGCTCCGGGAAGAGGTGGAGAAACTGAGGGAGCAGCTGTCACAGGCCGAGGTGAGGGAAGGGAGAGTGCCAAGAGCTCCTTTACGTCCAAAGACCACCTGCAAAATAGTGAGAATTTCACGTCGAGATTCTAATCGAGAATACTTAGTCCGAGTTAAGCTGGTTGGTGAAAAGTATGCAACAGATTTTCAGATGGAACTAACAGAACTTGAGATCTAGTATATTAGTATGTAGTAGATCTGAAGTTTTCTTGCCCATGTGACCATCGCGGTTCCATGCGGGCTCGTGCCCTCCGCCATGAACCCGGGTCTCCGGCGTAATGCAACAGGGAACCAGCTGAGTGAGCTAAAGGAGATCTCCCCCAGCCCAGGCAGCTGAGGTCCCTGCTACACGCAGGGAGGGCGATGACGTCACCGTGTCCAAACTAGCTCCACTACACCCATTTGGGTTTCTGATCTGCGTCTCTATCTCTTTCACTTCTGTCAGGACATGACTGGCTGAGCAGGTGAGGCATCAAGAGCGGGTATCGTTTTTTCTGAGGCAGCTAGGCCTGTCTGGGGGTAATGGTTGATACTCAAGATAGCAGAGTGCATCTACTCCTCCATGGCCAGTGAGTCTTGTAAGGGTCCTGCCAGCTCACAAACATGAGAGCGCACTGCCTAATTTCCCCTGGATGGGGCACTAGTCTATCACAGGGCTGTGGAGAAAAGGTGTCATTTTAAATAGCCAATCAAATCAAGCCAGCATGTCTCTGGGACATGGGAGGAAACCACAGAAACACAGAGTTTGAATATGCAGACTCCATATAGATGCTGGAGGCTAGAAACAAGTCCAGAAGCCGTGAGGTAGTGGTGCTGTTAAGCCATCATTCAACTTGGAACAGAAGACATTAGCACTACTCTCTAGCGAGGAAAACACAAGTCATTGTTCAGTGATAAAAATATTAACTTTGAATGAAGGGGAAATCAAGCCATAAGCTCTCTCCAGGTAAAGAGAAAATAGAAAGGAGGATGATTTTCCATTAAATTTGCCTAAAAGCCGAACCTTTGTGATAAAGAAACACTTGGTAAAATTAGATTATACAGGAAATTCAGAATATTGTCTAACAGCTACAGATCTCTTGTGTGAGCAACCTGATTGCCCATTTATTTGAAATGTTTTTCAAGTTATGCTGTTATGTTATTTTCATAATATGCTGGGCGTAAGGAGCTTTGAAGGATAGTCTTTTCATAAAACACAACCCTCTTGCCTCCAGTCTATGAAGGCCCCAGAACTAAAAGAGAAGCTGGAGGAGTCAGAAAAACTCATCAAAGAAATGACTGTGACCTGGGAAGAGAAGCTTCGGAAGACAGAGGAAATTGCACAGGTACTACTGGCTTATTGCAAATTCATTTCGTAAGGGAAAATAAAAAAATGAGCACTTAGTATACTACAATAGCAGCCAAGAAAAAACACAAATCCTTCACCACGAGCAATTTTAAGATTTTTTGAAAAAGCCATAGTAAAAAAAATCGCTTTTGGTTTCCTATGTGTTAAGAACGTGTCACTTTTTGGTAAGAATCTGACAAAAAATTATTCAGAATTGAACCAATCTTTTCCTTGCTGCTCTTTTTAGTGGCTTTGTAACTGGTGCCTTTCAGCTCTGAGAGTGGGTGGCAATGCCAAAACTTTCAGTGGCTTGAGACTAATGGTCGATGGATACTGTGGGTAATGTTTTTTTGTGCAGGAGAGACAAAAACAGCTGGAGAGCATGGGCATTTCCCTAGAGTCATCAGGGATCAAGGTCGGAGAGGATAAGTGTTTTCTGGTCAACCTGAACGCTGATCCTGCCCTGAATGAGCTGCTGGTTTATTATTTAAAGGTAAAGAACGTTTTATTTTCACTAGTGTTAAATGACTCACCACCAGCACTTAATTTCAGGCAGCTGTTTTCAACTGTCATTAAATGTTTTTTGTACTCTACCGGTCCAAATAGTGACAAAAAAACTGAACAATGGCGTTTGTAGTTTATAATGTGGAGTGTTTATAAAAACAGAAATCTGACCTCAGCCTCACACGATCAGTGCCCATCAACAGTAAAAGTAATCACAGTGTAGTAAACTGAATGCTGGACAAGGCAGAATGAAGTAGTGGTTGACACGGTACAGTTCCTTTTATGGGTTATTATATGTTTTTTTCCTTTTGATACGCTCATGTTTGATAACTGTCTGCTGTATAACTGTCTGTCTGCACCACATTTGCAAGTGGGTGAAATTTGGCTGGAATAATGTGATTAGCACATCTTAAATCTCGGCTCGTCTGGAGTTGGCAGTCAAGTTGGCATCCGTCCTATGGGCATGCTTGTGTAATGGTTTTTTTCTCTGAGAACCCTATTCATGTGGCATTTCTCACTGCTTTGCCTGCTTTTTATTTTTGCAGTCTCATTTGTCTTTTTTGTGTTAGCCATCTGAGTGCGATATGGGAGGAGCCCTTGTACAGGCCCTTGAGACCAAATGTCCCACATTATGTGGGCTATCTTTACACGTACAGCAGTACAGAGTTCTGTCACTCATTGAGCTTTTGTGAATAAAGACATTAATTGCATCAACGATATCTGGAAAGTTGTTTTGAGGGAAGAAAGTGTATTCGCCAAATTTGACATTCTGGAGTGTTTTCGGGTTGCCGAGTGACAGAACCAGTACAGGTAACTGTTCTGAATTCAGATTGTGCCCCTGTGATCTGCACGTCACTAGTTTAAGCTTGGACTTTAGCATTAACTAGCTGAATCTCTCCAAAATGGTGATCTCTCTGGCTTGCCAGTTGCCTATGATCCAGGGCCATCATTGGTCCATTCTCCCTCTGGTGCCCTTAACTGTTCTTGCTGTTGCTGTGGGCAGTAGGAAACATAAGTGGGCACGCAATTCCAGAGCCTGTCCTTGGATATGGTTGACTGGGGTGATGCAGAGCAGCCAGGATGGGCACACACTGCCTGCTTCAGCTGTCGAGCTCTTTTTCCTCGGCGTGAAAACGTGGCGTGAACAAAGGAAAGCTGGTTTTGACGCATGTGCATCATGTCGTTCTAAATCCGTGGTATTTTTTGGGAATTTGTACACAGTGAGTTTACAGTGTTTGCAGCTTCAGCCAGTATATGGCCAATATTGAGTGCAAACCCGAAAGACACTGTCGAACCCTGGGTGGGAGATTGGAGGAGACAAGTGTAAAGGTCCACCCCCATCAGGTGAGCGATACCAGGAGCACCTTGTTTAAAAACCTTGTTTGGTCAAAATTAAAACGAAGGATGCATTCTTGTTTGACTACAAACTCAAAACTCATGAACTGTTTTTTCAGTGGTTGTGTTATGACGTTACATTCACGATAAACATTGTAAGCAAAGCACTTTAATGCAGGAAAGTGCAGCTTGTGGCTTTCACACACACATCAAGTGGCTCATCAACTCTATTTTCCCTTTTATGATTTCCTTTCCTCATGTGTTCTTAATGATGTAGTTGAAAACAAATTGTGACTTCAGCTGTCTAAATCTCGACTGTTTAAAAGTATTTGACATTAAATTGCAACAGCAGCCTCTGTAGACCTGTACAAGAAATTTTAGCCTTTTGAACTTCAGTAAAAATTAAACAAAAATAAAGTATTCTTTTAGGTGCCTGGGCATATTATACTGTATCTTTATATATACAGAATATCAGCCGAGTGTATATGTGCTTCAAAGACCTAACACAAGAATTGGGATTGAGAACTGATTCGTACAAATATTAGACAGTTGTGGGCTAAGCCTTTCATTGACAGGTCTGCCAGGAGTCTTAAAATAGCAGGCTTAAGACTTAATATTGTTGAGAATTAAGAAGATTCAAAGACTTTTCCAGTATATTCCTTAACACATGGTATTTATTTAACAGCATTTATGAAAACGGGGATAGACAAATGCTAATTTAAGAGAAAAAAGGATGTGAGCCTTTGTTTGATTTTCAATCCCCAATTTCACAGTCTTAGTAACGTACAACCTAATGCAGAAATGTGTGTACAGCTATGGGCATCACATGGAAAAAAAAAAAAAGAACGTTGCTGCCCGGGAGAAGATTTGAAGACGAGCCGCTAGAATAATTTATGATCTGGAAGGTCACGCGCACTTCAGTCTTGAACAGAGAAGTATGTGAGGGAGGATTTGAGTCAGTTGGCGTGGTGGAACTGGTGGAAAGAAAACTGTGCAAGCAGATTAACAAGGAAGCACTTCTTTATGTTAAGAGCCTTTGGTGCCTGGAAGAAAGTTCACAGTCATATGACCACTCCCTGGGATCTTCTAGATCGAAGAACTGATTGAAGTGCTTGGAGTATTTGTTAGAAAAATCACACTATTAGCAACCAGATGAGTGTGATGGGCTCTGCAGCCTCTTCTTGTTTGTAGCCATTCTTTTGTTCTCGTGAAGGAGACTTTTAACAATCAGTACTTTCTAAACTTAAACTAATATAAGAACTGTTAGAGCAAAATGCCCCAACTTCCATGGTGTTTGAGGGGGCTTCTTCTGTATTCTGAACCTGAAGGTTGAAAGTAAACTAGAAGCAAAATTTTTGGGGAGGCTGACATTAGGAAAGAATAGGTTTTTCATGCAACTGTCAGAATTAGGTAACTGCCAAACACAGCCCACACATTTTGTAGCACATTGCTTTGTCAGGAGTACCAAAAAATGAATGGAATGTGTTCGCTTTTTGCTGAAAAAGGTTAGCCAGCTACATTCCGTCTACATCCTTAAGATAAAAAAAATAGAATGCAGGATATTGTGATCAGTGACCTTCCTTTCTTATCTTGCTCACAAAAACATGCTTAAGTCCACGTAGTGGCCAGTCTTTTTTGCTACAGAGTAAAAGGGCTTATCTGCCTGGGCATATTGTACTGTATCTTTAAAATATCAGCCGAGTATTTTATCCAAAGAGGCTAACAGAATGTATTTTAAAAAGATTTGCACACTACAGATTGCACAATGCACTCTTGCTCTAGACTGACAGCTGAAAATGACCAATGAAAATCTATACATTGTGAACTGTCCAAGTGAAGAGATGCGTGTAAAATATCCTGTGTGTATGCCTCTTCAGAATTATTCTTTCATGTGAACTGTAAGGGCCTCCACAATCCTTCTGTTTCTTCAGTTGCTGTGTGAGCAGCACAGCTCTTTGGGTCTTCTCAGACAGCTTGCCTTTGACGATTGTGTGTCTCTGCTCTTTAACTGGGGAAGCTATCTGTGGTACTGCCTGTGCGCTGTAAATGCTGTCAAGATAATTGCTTGCTATGATATC